GGCATCAGCATCATCATTGTCATCATCATCATCATCATCATCATCATCATCATCATCATCATCACCACCACGACCGTCATCATCACCGGCCTTACATCCACAGATAGGGCCCGCGCCTCCAAACAAGCAGGGGTGTCTCTGAGGAGCCTGCCCCCCTCCCCCTGTCCCCCTCTGCGCGTGGCTGATTTCACTGCGTGGCTCCCCAGACCCCGATGGGTTTTCTGACGGCCCCTTGGGGCGCGGTGAGGGCCCCTGGGTGCCGAACACGGCCGGAAACCTTGCGTCGTGATTTCCCCACGACGCGAGGCGGTCAGGGGAGGAGGAGGACGAGGAGAAGCAGGAGGTCGTGGTGGTGGTGAAGCCGTCGGGGGGATCAGTCAGACCCACTCTAACTCTTCAAGCCCCCAGGTATTGCATGGTGGAGGGCATTGGACAAGGCACCCTTAGATAAGGAATGCAGGGTCTGGAAACCGGTGCACCTCCAAGCTATCATCGGCCACGGATATCACCGCCGCCTTCATCAGATTAGGAAGCCCCCAAGGTTTGCAACCTCTTGGGCACATTCCTCAACAAACGCCCCACCGTATGAAGCACTTGCTGGAAGTCGAGGAGGAGGAGGAGGAGGAGGAGGAGGAAGGCGCGGAGTGGACAACCGGAAGCAGCTTCTGTGGCCCAACTGTCCTCCGAGGACACAGTACCTGAGGTGGCCGCTTTCTCCAAGCTGGTGGTGGCCTCGTCGTCCTGCGAGGCGCCCCCCGCTTTTGCTCATCCCCCTCTCTTTTTCTCATGCTCCACGTCGTCCTGCACCTACTCTTTCTGCTCCTGCCATTCATTGCACTTCCTCATCCTTTCCCTCCTCCAACGCCCTATTGTTTCACAACGTGGCCCCCCAAAGGTCTGGACACCATCCTTGGGACCGGCTTTCCATCCCGAGTTGTTTTCTGATTGTCCCTGGCGCTCAAGACGGGCCCATGGGCGCCGAAAACGGCCAAAAACATGACATCGTGATTTTCTCGCTCCGCGAGGGTGCCAGGACAGGAGGGGGGAAGGGGCAACTGAGAGCAGCTTATGTGGCCCGATCGTCCTCCGAGGACACCGCACTTGAGGTGGTCGCCTTCTCCGAAGTGGTGGCTCGGCCGTCCTGCGAGGCGCCCCCCCATTGTGCACATCCCCCTCCTCCTCCTCCTCCTCCTCCTCCTCCTCCTCCTCCTCCTGCTCATCTTCCTCCTCTTCCTCCACCTCCTCCTGCTCCTTCTCCTCCTCCTCCTCCTTCTCCTCCTCCTCTGTCTCTTCTGCACCTCCTCCTTCCCCTCCTCCTCCTCCTTCTCCTCCTCCTCCTCTGCCTCCTCCTCCCTCTCCTCATTCTCGTCCTCGTCCTCGTCCTCCTCCTCCTCCTTTTCCTCGTCCTCGTGCTCCTCCTGCTCCTCCTCCTCCTCCTCCTCCTCTCCTCTTCCTCATCCTGCTCCTCCTCCTCCCCTTCCTCCTCCTCCTCCTCCTCCTCCTCCTCCTCCTCCTCCTCTTCCTCCTCCTCCTCCTCCTGCTCCTCCTCCTGCTCCTCCTCCTTCTCCTCCTCCCCCTTCTCCTCCTCCTCCTCCTCCTCCTCCTCCTCCTCCTCCTCCTCCTCCTCCTTCTGGCCAGACCCAGTGCTGGGCCGCCTTAGGCCCGCAGACGGCTCTAACACAAGGGCACGCACCCCTGCTTTGCTTAGTCGACCTGATCAGGAGGAGGAGGAGGAATATGTTGCACGTATCTCTCTGACCTTGTCCTTTTACTCTTCTGAGCTCACCTCGCCTAAACTTGAGTTATGTTGCCACTGTCGAGCACTACAAGCTCAGTTCCCGAAGTCTGCCCGACTTCAAAGAGAAGAAGGAGGAGGAAGGCAGAGCGGCACGCAGACTGCCGGCGCCTTGCTCTGTTCTTGACGGCGTGCACAAGGGGATAGGGGGAGAGGGGAAGGCTAGCTACTCACAAGGAGGCTGCTTCTTAGAAGGCGCCGGCCTTACATCCACAGATAGGGCCCGCGCCTCCAAACAAGCAGGGGTGTCTCTGAGGAGCCTGCCCCCCTCCCCCTGCCCCCCTCTGCGCGTGGCTGATTTCACTGCGTGGCTCCCCAGACCCCGATGGGTTTTCTGACGGCCCCTTGGGGCGCGGTGAGGGCCCCTGGGTGCCGAACACGGCCGGAAACCTTGCGTCGTGGTTTCCCCACGACGCGAGGCGGTCAGGGGAGGAGGAGGACGAGGAGAAGCAGGAGGTCGTGGTGGTGGTGAAGCCGTCGGGGGGATCAGTCAGATCCACTCTAACTCTTCAAGCCCCCAGGTATTACATGGTGGAGGGCATTTTTTTTACTCTTCGAGCGGGCGCGAGCCCCCGCGTGGTCATGCCCCAAATTCTCAGCGGGCCGCAGGCCCGCGCAAACGGCGCGGGACTGCCGAGGGCCCCACGGCGGCCGAGGGGGGCGCTCACCAGCGTCGGCCCCGCCTCCTCGCCGCTCGCGGGGCCGCCTCGCCGCGCTCCAGCGCGCGGTCACGCTCCCCGCGCACCTGGGCTGCCTCTCGCCCACGGGCGCGTGCGTCGTCCGCCGACGCGAAGCCGTGCGCACGGAGGACGCCCTCCAGGTCGGGCACGCAGAGCTCCTGCGAGCCTGCGCGCACCGCGGGCTGCACCGCCGCCGCGCCCACGGCCGCCGAGGCGCACGCCGATGCCGCCGCCGCACCGTCCGCAGGCCCCGCCGCGCCAGCAGCACGCCCCGCCGCAGGCTGTGCAGCCGCAGGCCTTGGCGAGACTCCTGGGCCGCCAGCCCGCGCCACCGCCAGGAACTCGCCCACCTGGGGGTTGGGCCAGTCGAGGTCGTCCACCTTGAGCGACCTTCGCCAGCGCTGCATCTCCTCCATCGTCGGCGACTTGAGCATCACGATCGGCGGTTTCTCCTTGCCTGGCAATCGCAATCTGCCGAATGGTGGAGGGCATTGGACAAGGCACCCTTAGATAAGGAATGCAGGGTCTGGAGACCGGTGCACCTCCAAGCTATCATCGGCCACGGATATCACCGCCGCCTTCATCAGATTAGGAAGCCCCCAAGGTTTGCAACCTCTTGGGCACATTCCTCAACAAACGCCCCACCGTATGAAGCACTTGCTGGAAGTCGAGGAGGAGGAGGAGGAGGAGGAGGAGGAGGAGGAAGGCGCGGAGTAAACAACCGGAAGCAGCTTCTGTGGCCCAAATGTCCTCCGAGGACACAGTACCTGAGGTGGCCGCTTTCTCCAAGCTGGTGGTGGCCTCGTCGTCCTGCGAGGCGCCCCCCGCTTTTGCTCATCCCCCTCTCTTTTTCTCATGCTCCACGTCGTCCTGCACCTACTCTTGCTGCTCCTGCCATTCATTGCACTTCCTCATCCTTTCCCTCCTCCAACGCCCTATTGTTTCACAACGTGGCCCCCCAAAGGTCTGGACACCATCCTTGGGACCGGCTTTCCATCCCGAATTGTTTTCTGATTGTCCCTGGCGCTCAAGACGGGCACATGGGCGCCGAAAACGGCCAAAAACGTGACATCGTGATTTTCTCGCTCCGCGAGGGTGCCAGGACAGGAGGGGGGAAGGGGCACCTGAGAGCAGCTTATGTGGCCCGATCGTCCTCCGAGGACACCGCACTTGAGGTGGTCGCCTTCTCCGAAGTGGTGGCTCGGCCGTCCTGCGAGGCGCCCCCCCATTGTGCACATCCCCCTCCTCCTCCTCCTCCTCCTCCTCCTGCTCCTCTTCCTCCTCTTCCTCCACCTCCTCCTGCTCCTTCTCCTCCTCCTCCTCCTCCTTCTCCTCTGTCTCTTCTGCACCTCCTCCTTCCCCTCCTCCTCCTCCTTCTCCTCCTCCTCCTCTGCCTCCTCCTCCCTCTCCTCATTCTCGTCCTCGTCCTCGTCCTCCTCCTCCTCCTCCTCCTTTTCCTCGTCCTCGTGCTCCTCCTGCTCCTCCTCCTCCTCCTCCTCCTCTTCCTCATCCTGCTCCTCCTCCTCCCCTTCCTCCTCCTCCTCCTCCTCCTCCCTCCTCCTCCTCCTAATCCTCCTCCTCTTCCTCCTCCTCCTGCTCCTCCTCCTGCTCCTCCTCCTTCTCCTCCTCCCAGTTCTCCTCCTCCTCCTCCTCCTCCTCCTCCTCCTTCTGGCCAGACCCAGTGCTGGGCCGCCTTAGGCCCGCAGACGGCTCTAACACAAGGGCACGCACCCCTGCTTTGCTTAGTCGACCTGATCAGGAGGAGGAGGAGGAATATGTTGCACGTATCTCTCTGACCTTGTCCTTTTACTCTTCTGAGCTCACCTCGCCTAAACTTGAGTTATGTTGCCACTGTCGAGCACTACAAGCTCAGTTCCCGAAGTCTGCCCGACTTCAAAGAGAAGAAGGAGGAGGAAGGCAGAGCGGCACGCAGACTGCCGGCGCCTTGCTCTGTTCTTGACGGCGTGCACAAGGGGATAGGGGGAGAGGGGAAGGCTAGCTACTCACAAGGAGGCTGCTTCTTAGAAGGCGCCGGCCTTACATCCACAGATAGGGCCCGCGCCTCCAAACAAGCAGGGGTGTCTCTGAGGAGCCTGCCCCCCTCCCCCTGCCCCCCTCTGCGCGTGGCTGATTTCACTGCGTGGCTCCCCAGACCCCGATGGGTTTTCTGACGGCCCCTTGGGGCGCGGTGAGGGCCCCTGGGTGCCGAACACGGCCGGAAACCTTGCGTCGTGATTTCCCCACGACGCGAGGCGGTCAGGGGAGGAGGAGGACGAGGAGAAGCAGGAGGTCGTGGTGGTGGTGAAGCCGTCGGGGGGATCAGTCAGATCCAATCTAACTCTTCAAGCCCCCAGGTATTACATGGTGGAGGGCATTGGACAAGGCACCCTTAGATAAGGAATGCAGGGTCTGGAAACCGGTGCACCTCCAAGCTATCATCGGCCACGGATATCACCGCCGCCTTCATCAGATTAGGAAGCCCCCAAGGTTTGCAACCTCTTGGGCACATTCCTCAACAAATGCCCCACCGTATGAAGCACTTGCTGGAAGTCGAGGAGGAGGAGGAGGAGGAGGAGGAAGAGGAGGAGGAAGGCGCGGAGTGGGCAACCGGAAGCAGCTTCTGTGGCCCAACTGTCCTCCGAGGACACAGCACCTGAGGTGGCCGCTTTCTCCAAGCTGGTGGTGGCCTCGTCGTCCTGCGAGGCGCCCCCCGCTTTTGCTCATCCCCCTCTCTTTTTCTCATGCTCCACGTCGTCCTGCACCTACTCTTGCTGCTCCTGCCATTCATTGCACTTCCTCATCCTTTCCCTCCTCCAACGCCCTATTGCTTCACAACGTGGCCCCCCAAAGGTCTGGACACCATCCTTGGGACCGGCGTTCCATCCCGAGTTGTTTTCTGATTGTCCCTGGCGCTCAAGACGGGCCCGTGGGCCCCGAAAGCGGCCAAAAAACTGACATCGTGATTTTCTCGCTCCGCGAGGGTGCCAGGACAGGAGGGGGGAAGGGGCACCTGAGAGCAGCTTATGTGGCCCGATCGTCCTCCGAGGACACCGCACTTGAGGTGGTCGCCTTCTCCGAAGTGGTGGCTCGGCCGTCCTGCGAGGCGCCCCCCCATTGTGCACATCCCCCTCCTCCTCCTCCTCCTCCTCCTCCTCCTGCTCCTCCTTCTTTTCCTCTTCCTCCTCCTCCTCCTGGAACCCTCCTCTGCCTCCTCCTGCACATCCTCCCTGGAACCCTCCTCTGCCTCCTCCTGCACATCCTCCTCCTCCTCCTCCTCCTCCTCCTCCTCCTCGTCCTCGTCCTCCTCCTCATTTTCCTCCTCATCCTCCTCCTCATCCTCCTCCTCTTCGTCCTCCTCCTCCTTTTCGTTTTGGTCCTCGTTTTCGTCCTCCTCCTCCTCCTCTTCCTCCTCTCCCTTTTTTTATCAGAATCAGTATTGATACGACAAGTCATATTACCACAGCAAGGGTGCTATCAATATGATTAGCATTATCAACAGCTTCTTACAACTAATAAATGCTTTTCTATGACGCAGAAATCTTATTAATATGAGTTCGTCATCTTCTTCCTGGTGTTAGGCATATGCGTAGTCGTGTTCTTAGCATTCTGAATATCACTCGAATGACTGCCCGTAATAAGATTAGCCACCGAAGTTGTCTTGTTATTGACATTGATATGGCGAGTGCTGGTATTAGTCATTGAATGATTAGTGCCATTCGCATGTTCAATATTCGTATGAGTCGTATGCCTAGCGTCCGTATTCGCATTAGTAATAACACCCTTCGTATTATGGGTTATACCATTATGTTTTGTTAAATCGCCAATCTTAGCACGACTATTATTCGTCATGGTAGTATGAATACTATTATTAAGAATAGTGAAATTCGCCGCGCAATGGTAAATATCTGTAATACGTTTACGAATAATAATCTTACGAATGATACTAATACTGGTCTGATTTGTATGACCCTTCGTCTTATTGATATCACTAGTACTACGAATTTGCCCCTTGGAAGTAATATCCTTATTCGCCCGATACTCGTTGATACAATTTTGCATCATGGTTCGTCTTAATGTAAATACGACCCTTCTTCTTCGCAGAGTTATCACTTTTCTCATGCTTTATACCCGTAATACCAGACTGCGTCCTTTTGTATGTATGGTAATACTGAAGATACTGTTGTCATGTGTGTCCGTGTTTTAGATAATTCATGTCACGCATATTAATGCGATCGTTCTTGTTAAAACTACCAGTGCAATTTCGATTCGCCTTTTATTACTCATTATCACAACTACGAATCTGAACATTGATATTATTATTCGTCGTCCCCCTCCTCCTCGTTCTCCTCGTCCTCCTCCTTTCCCTCGTCGTCGTCCTCGTCCTCGTCATCCTCCTCCTCCCCCTCCTCCTCCCCCTCCCCCCCTCATCCTCCTCCTCCTCCACTCTCTCCTGCAACGCTGTCGTATCGCGATCGCGCGCGTCTTTCGGGGCCACGCCCCGCGCCCGCCGCGAGCGCACGCGGTCGGGGCCAGGGAGGACCCACCCTTGTCGGGAGAGGGGGAGAGGGGAGACAAGGCCGCGCACACTCATATGCTGCTGCTGCCCATGGCGGTCGAGGGTGATCCTGTGGCCATGCAAACCTGTCCTGCCACTTTCCCGCGGCGAAGCCCTGCGGAAACGTGGGGGCACATTAGGGGCAAGGTGAGCAGCGAGATGTATGAAACGAGGTAGCAGAATACAATCAGGTCATACACCTCCTGAGGCCAACGAGGAGAGGGGGGAGGTTGGACGAGCGGCGGGGCCACTCAGCAAGGAAAGATGCGCATACCGTACACGGCGTATGTTGCGAGTTCCACTGTGCACGGAACACCTCGTGCAAACGCTGTTGACGCAGTACGAACGTTGGGAGCATTGTTACTGTGACGTTGTACACGGCAGAGTACTGTACCCGGCTTCAGGCAGGCGGGTGTTTCCGTTGTGGCCACTTTCGTGTGATGCTCTACGCCATGTGGGCGAACATATCATAGAACATTGGCTGTTGAAGGCTGGCCTTGCTTTACGCCCCACGAGACGCACGCGGCTGCCCCCGCATGGATCTCGTGGCTCAGCTAGTGGCGCTCATAGCTCAGCTGGCGTCGTCTGTCATCGTCGCCGTCGCCCGTCGTCCGCCGTCGCCTTCGCCGTCGCCGTCGCCGTCGCCGTCGCCGACGCCGTCGCCGTCGCCGTCGCCGTCACCGTCGTCGTCGTCGTCGTCGTCCGTCGTGACCAATGCTCCGGCGTCGTCGTAGTCGGCCGTCGTCGCAATCGTCGCCGACGTTGCCATCCGCCGTCCGTCGCCCCGTCGTCGTCGTCGTCGTCGGTCGTCGTCGTCGTCGTTGTCCGTCGACCGTCGTCCGTCGTCCGTCGTCCGTCGTCGGTCGTCGGTCGTCGGTCGTCGTCGTCGTCGACGTCCGTCGTCCGTCGTCCGTGGTCCGTCGTCGTCGTCGTCCAACGTCGTGGTCAGTGGTAGTCCGGCGTCGTCGTCGTCAGGCGTCGTCATCGTCGGCGATGCCCTGCTTGTTTCTATACGCGGTCCCCAGATGTCCCGGCCATTTCCCCAGGACCGGTGTTTCACCCAGAGTCGTTATTTCACCGTCCCCGGGCCCGGAAAAGGGCCATCCAAGGCCGAAACCAGCAAAACAAACGTGCGTCGTGATCTCTGTCACGACGCGAGCATGTCTTGGCCACTTCAGCCCCGCAGCCGGCTCCAACCACCTCTGAACATTTTCTTAGGGTGGGGGGCTCACGGTGAAATCCATGTGGGCTTTTACACCTCGAAAAACAATCCGTCTTGTGACTCACTTTTGGCAGATTCAGGCCTCGAGCACCCATCGAAACGGCATTTCAGATTTCATCCTTTGCCCTCTCCACCCAAAGAGAATGCTCGCCTCCTGCAACCTCCCAGACCCTCGGGTGGAGCAGCCCAGTCGTCCTGCGAGGGCGTCTCGCTGGAGGGGGCCTCCTTCTCGGAGGTGGTGGCCTCGCCGTCGTCCTGCCAGGCACCCCCCTCCTCCTGTTCCTCCTGTTCTTGCTGTTCCGCCTGTTCCTCCTGTTCAGCATGTTCCTCCTGTTCCTATTCCTCCTCCTCCTCCTCGTCCTCCTCCTCCTCCTCTTCCTCGTCCGCCTCCTCCTAAACTCCTCCTCGTAAACTCCTCCTCCCAAGCTCCTCCTCCTCCTCCTCCTCTTCCTCCTCCTCTTCTTCCCTCAAACCATTCATGCTCGAGGCGTTCTGCACAAGCCAGGCCCGAATCTCATAGTGGTGCTTGAGTGCCTTCCCTCTTGTCTGGAGCACAGGCAGAAGGTCGACGAAAGCGAGCTCAGTCAGGCCATGGAGTAAGTGCGCGCACTGCAAAGCGCCACAGCCGCCACTGGACGCGACCTCGCCTGTTCCAGGCGGGGCTGAAAGAGTTTTCGAGCTCGAGGGCTGCTCTAGCCTTAGCCGCATCTTCAAGTTCAGGGATGGGGGCGCGGTCTTGGGACAGCAGGGTGTCGTGAGTCAAGCGGGCGCGCAGCAGGAGGTCGAGGTTTTCCTCTACGGTGCCCAGAGCCCCCCACCGCAGGAGCGGGCAACCATCCAATCCAGAAAGAAACGTCCGCAAGAGCACAACGACAAGCTGGCGAGCAGGAGCTGCGCGTGCAGCAGAAGCGGGAAGAGGGTGCGGCTCTACTAGACGAGCGCGTTCCACGACTTGCAAAGTATCTACTCGCAAATGGCCTGGATCCGGCGCGGGGGATGTATGATAAACTACATCGAAGCAGACACGTGATTTCTGGGGACGCTTGCGAGTAGGCACTTTGCCAGTAATGGACCGCGCTCGGAGATCTACCAACCACGCTCGCCAGCCCCTGGGAGTCGCCGTGTGGTTTTCGACGGGCACCTCGGGCACGTCGCGAACGACGGCAAGGCCATGTTGCTCCCATCGTACTTAAAAACCACATCCGACAAATAGTTTCCAACACCCGAAAAAGTGTCGGAAGAGTGTCGGAAGAGTGTCGAAACAATGTCGGACGAGTATTTCCCAGGGCCCGACACGTGAAAACCCTGGAGTTTCGGTACTTGTTTGGTGCTCGACATGAGTTCTGTTGGTCCAGGCTAAAGTACGCTGGACCATCATAAGGCAAGTCGGAGGCTGTGCGTGGTCGCAGCCCCCGCAGGACGGCCCGCCCAAGGGGAGGGCGGCCAGGCAGCTTGCGCACCCCCAGCGTGAAACCGACAGTTTTGGCGGCGGCGACCGTGTTGTCGGGGTGTCCCGCTGCAGGGGTCGCTCGGCCGTCCGCGCCAGGCCGCCCAGCTCCGCAAAGGAAACCTTCTGGCTCGCAAACACTGATAATTCTGTCGGGTTCCAGCGGCGCCCCGAAGGCACTTTACACTTCCAAAGTGCCTTCGGCGCGCGCGAACGTGCACGGCGCAGTCGCAGCCGGCAGCGCTCCGTGGAGCAGGCGAGGCAGGCCGCCGACGGGAGGAGACGAAAGCAGGCTGCCGCGGGCCCAGAGCCAGAGGCTCTCACGGCGAGCGCCGCCGGCGCTCGAGGAGGGAGGGTCGAGGATCGAGGATCGAGGGTCGAGGATCGAGGGTCCAGGATCGAGGATCGAGGATCGAGGATCGCGGATCGAGGGTGGAGGATCGAGGACCGAGGACCGAGGACCGAGGATCGAAGATCGAAGAGGAGGATCGAGGATCGAGGAGGAGGACGAGGAGGAGGAGGAGGAGGAGGAGGATCGAGGCCGAGGCCCCCCGCCACGCGGACAGGGCGCGGAGGGCGAGGAGAGAAGGTCGCTGTTCCGGAGCCCGCGCGGGCGCCGGTCACGAGGAGGGGGGCCGCCGAGGGGCTCTCGCGCCGGCGCGGCCCGCCGGGGCGACGAGAGCGGGGGGCACAACCCTGCCGTCGACCTCCTCCTCCTCCTCCTCCTCCTCCTCCTCCTCCTCCTCATCCTCCAGGTCGGCAGTGAGGTGTCCGATCGCTTCGAGGAGTGGGAGTGCGACGAAGAGGACAAGAAGCAGCTCTGCCCGAGTCCCACCTCGCCAGTTACCAGAAGGAGTTCGAGGCCAAGGACTCCGAGGTCAAGGTTTTCCCGAGGAGGTCGCGCAGGTCGAGAAGTGGCGAGCGCTCGCATGTTGACGGAGCGCAGCTACGAGGAGGCGAAGGGCGACAAGCCCGAGCCCCACGAGCTGCTGAAGAAGGAGGCCTAGAGGACCTCCGCAGCGAAGTTCGCTGCCGCTGAGGCCGTCAGCCGCAGTGGCCCTACGGGTGGCGCTGCACGCGGTGGCCCTAAGGGTGGCGACACTGGCGACGCGGCAGGCCCAGTGAGCCAGCCCAGCGTCGCCGACCTGACGGCAGCGGCAGCGGCGGCAGGCGGAGAGAGCGGCGGTGGAGTCGACATGCATGTCGGCTCGCAGGGTGGATATATGCTGAGCTGGGACTAGGCTCCCGAGTGGGAGTCTAACCAGGTGGTCACGAGCGCCTCCACCTCTACCAGTACCAGTACGGCCTCTTCAGATTCAACTACCTCCCCTTCTTCTTCGGTGTCGAGAGTGGATTGCACCGCGCGAGCGTTCTGTGGGAACGTGACTTGCATGGGTGACAAGGCTTGGGGGTACGTGTGTGCCCAGTCCGAGTCGCACGACTACATGGGGGTTGTTGAAGCACATGTTCGATCGAGTGAAATACCCAGGTGGACGAGCAAGGCTCGCAGCCGTGGCCTCAAGCTCTTCGCCAACGGTGCGAGGCCAGAATCCAGCGCAGGAGGAGAGAGCGAGTGAAGGAGACGAGTGGCTCATGTCTAGAAGCCACAATCAATACGGTGCAAGTTTTAGATGCCACCAGAGCCGCCAAAGGTCTCATAGCAGACAAAGACGACATGCTATTTTATTGTTTGCCGTGTCAGTTGCAAATGCAAAATTTCTCCATGATCTTGTGCATTGTGTACGGCCACTATGGTGTAGGCCTCTCACAGGCCAGTCTTGCCAGGTTTCGTCGTCTCGGCAATACTTTGGCAGCATTGCAAATCCTTTGGATCACGATCGAGGATTGGAGCCTTTCCCTACATGACATTTCCAAGACGGGCTTTTTAGATAGAGTAGGGGGTTCGATACTCCAGCCAGATGTTGAGTTAGTTTTTGACTGTTTTGGCAGTATCTTTTATTTTTCGTCGAAAATCCCCCTGTGGGGGGGACAGGCACGACTTAAGGCTAAGTGCGGGAGCGGCAGCGTGGGTGCCTCTCCCCCCTCTCCCTCCCAGGCCCACTCCGGCGAAGCTGCGGACGCTGGCGCCCTGGGCTTCGAGTCGGAGGGGGGAGGACCCTTGGGTTAAGTCGGGCGTGTCCCCCTACAGGGGGATTTTCAACGGAAATAAAAAAATGCCCCAAAAGGGTAAAACAAATACTTAAAAAATTAGTCCCCAGACTATTTGTGGACTATGTTTGGACTATTTGGGGGGTATTTGTTATTTTTCGTCGAAAATCCCCCTGTAGGGGGACAGGCCCAACTTAACCCTTGGGCCAGCGAGCTCCACTTCGGCATCCAGCTGCCGCCCATGCCTGCACCGCCTGTCCCATGCGTTTCTCTCCGTCGGGTGCCACGCCAGTTAGTCAGAGCCCTAACCCCACATGCGCCGACTCGAAGCCCAGGGCGACATCGTCGCAGCAGGATAGCTCGAGGTCCGTTGCGGTCGAGCAGCCTGGCTCTCCTGCCCCGCAGCAGAACGACCCTTGTTCCGAGGCCGAGGTGCCTCGAGGCAAGTGTTGTGAAGTGCGGAACGAACACAGGAGCGCCATCGGTCTCGCGTCGTCGGGGGCCCACCCCCCTGCTGGTGCTGGTGCTGCCTCCGTGGCCTGTCGGCTCCGCGCTGGCAGGTGTGATGCCATCGGCGGTCTGCACGCGTCGTGGCTGGGGGCCGTCGAGAGCTCCACACCCGGACGGCATGCACGGGCCACTCCTGGGCGATCTGGAGCGGACGGCCCCAAGTGCCGAACGGATGCTGCGCCAGAAGCGGCACCGACGAGGAGTGCAGCTCTTCGGGACCGAGCGAGCGACTGGACCGGAACGGATGCTGCGCCGGAAGCGGCACCGACGAGGAGTGCAGCTCTTCGGGACCGAGCGAGCGACTGGACGCGAGTGCGCAGTCATTTCAGCAGATCTGAGGCATCGGTCCAGAGACAGTGGAGAGAAGCAGCAGCTTGTCCCGCTGCTGGCGCGTGCCGAGGCTTGTCGAGGAGACGCTCGGGCAGGGACACCAGGCAGTCAGGCACGGAGATCAGCTTGCACGGCGTGATCGGTTGCAGGTGTTGCCGGGGGTGGAGCAGCAGTCCGATGAGCGGCTCAGAGCGTGTGCGATGCGGAGTGAGCGAGAGTGACCAGGCGTAGTCAGGACAGAGCGGTGAAGCAGTCGATCGCGGAGCTCCGAGAGCGGATGGGCAGGCAAGCGTCAATGTTTCTTGCCTGCATCGCACCATCAAGGAGAATCCGCAAGTCTCGCCAGTCCTGGAGCTGAAGGGTGTCACCATTCATCCAGCACCCCAGGGACACCATGGACGAGGAGCAACGGCACTGGGAGGAGGTTTGGAGTCTCTCGCATAAGGATAGTTTCCAGGAGCTCGATGAGCTTTTCGAGCAGATCCGCACGTGACGAGCGACTGCCTGATCTGACGGGGGACTGGTTGCAGGAGGCTGCGCGCAAACTCAAGCCCATCGCGGCCATTGGCATCGACAGGCTCACAGCAGTGGACTTGGATAGACGACTCATGGCTGCGCATGATGAGTTGGCAGCGCGGTTCAACGTTTGCGAGCAGATGCTCTGCTAGCCGCACCAGCTCGTGATGGTCATCGGCAAGCTGTCGCCTCAGAAGGTTAATAGTGACCGGGTGATTGATGTACGACCACGTACATCAAGATTGTGGTCTAAGGCGCACGGGCATTGGGTCATGTGTTGGTCAGAGGAATGCAGTACGCCGCGGGACGCCGCAGTCAGTGAAAACGCGGACATCCAGGAGGC